ACCCTGTTAAAATAAAAAGATATACGAGCTCAAAACTATGATTTCGCGAATTCAACGAAACGTTATGATATGGCTTTGATTTCACCCCTACGGCATTTATCACGGTGGGTCCTTTCGAGGCGCATTTTGGCTTTGGGAGTGAGAACATCACATAATATATGTGACGCACTGGCTCGAATTTCAGACAATGCGTGTCTCGGTAACAGGCCCTTGCCCGCTGGGCGAATCACAAACGCTCTATTCGTAGCAGCGGGGGTGCGCACGTTGGTTGTCACGGAGACGGTGGCCACAACTGCAGGGAATAAGCGTTATGCCGTTACAAAGCGTTGACAGAGCAATTTGGGCTCGAAAATAGCCAAAATCGATGTCTTGATTATGTGTTGACAGTGATGCAGTGGCACTACCCAGTGCTATTATTGCATGCAAGTAGTCCTGCGATTTCGCTGGAGGATGGCTTTTGAAATATGCCCCTAGATCCCTTTAAACACTTCTTTTAAATGAAGCCCTATATATCTGAGGAAGTTTCTTAGACAACTGAACTGAGGTTAGAATTACAATTACTTCCATTGAACTCGTGTCGGTATAAAGATCGGACCGTCTTCCAAAACTGAGCTGCTTCCTCACTGATGAACGTGATGTAAGTGGTAGTTTGTGATGCTCCTTTCGAATTTCTTGATGACAGGGACGTCAACAGACCTCTTATCTGAACCTCTTGCAGGTCAGAGGTCACCAACCAAAAAATGACCCACATCAACTTTTTTCCACCGGTGCGAGGCAGCCGTTTCGACCGGTGCAGTCTGAAATGAACACCAGTGAAATTTTGCTTAGAACAGGTATCTGGGGTTAAGGCGGTTGCATGAGGATGTGCGTAGAAAAGACAATTTTTATCCCGCCAACCTGCCAATTTCTGACCCACAAGAAACCGTGGGATTTTGGCAGGGTTATAGGCCAGACTTGGCGGTCTTTTGCGGGTAAAAAGATAGCAGTCGAAATCATGCAATTTTTCTCTTCCTTAGGTTTTGAATCATCCCTAAACCAATTTACGTTGCCAAATACAAAACAATCATGAAAGAAACATTTTTATTTTTAACGGCAACAGCACGGTCACAGAAAACCCATGGCAGACATAACAAATCAGTATACCAAGCTGCACAAAGTGAACAGCTTTAATCCAATATCTCACCTGAAAAATTTAAGAATAGCAACCACAGTTTGCAAACTATAGCCTGATTTCATTGAGCAGCACTAAGGTGGGTCGTTAAAATAAACTGCGCAATACACTTGAGTGTTGGTGTGAAGGTGTGGTGCACTCAATTTTACTTGGTTTCCACAAAAAAACTATTCCTCACAAACCACAATCGGCATTTTCACTGACTTGTCAATGCAGCTGCACATGTGAAAATTCCATTGCAGGCAACAATGTGGTGCAAAGCTGCCAAAGTATTGAAGTTTTTTTTGCACGCTCTCTCAGAACCTACTGCCGTTCACACAGGATTCGTACACAAAATACAGTGGCATATTTAGCTGGGCTGGGGCTGGACTGGGGCTGGGGCTGGGACTGGACTGGGACTGGGACTGGGACTGAGACTGGACTGGGACTGGGACTGGGACTGGGACTGGGACTGGGACTGGGTCTGGGACTGGGTCTTGGACTGAGAATGAGAATGAGAGTGGTAATGGGAATGGGACTGGGGTTGGCACTGAGGCTGGCCCTAGGGTTGGAGCTGGGCTTGGCATAACATGGCCAGGGGCAGCGAATTTAGGGAGGGCGGGGTGCAGTCACCCCCTGCCAAATCCGGCAACACATGGCGGCAGCTCACTCACGAAAGGGGCAAGTTATAACGGCCCTCTCCAGCCTTCACAAAGGGTCCGCCGCAGCGGGGCATAGCATGATAGGGCAGAAGACGTGACCGGGGAGAGGGGGGGGGGGGGACAGGAGGCCAACAGAACAGTATAGAGCAGGCTAGGACAGATCACCAGGTGGGGAAAGGTGAAAATGTACAGCGTAGAAGAGCGCAGGACAGGAGACGGCAGGATGGGACAGGGCCGGAGATAATGGCACGAGACGGGAGAGCAGATGGTAGCACAGGGCAGGAGACGACGAGAAGACAGGGCTGGGTGAGGGCCAAGGGCTTGGAGGGCTGAGGGCTGAGGGAGTTACGAAAGAGTTTGTCGTATGAGATAGATTCTAGGTATATACGCCAAGCTCTAGAGATGACAGAACAGATCAAGACGGAGACAACAGAGTGGAGGACAGCACACCGTAGCACAGCACACCACAGCACAGTACAGAATATGGCAGAGCCAAGCACAATTTTTCAAAACAAAACCAAATCCAGCTGAAAGAACACTTCAAAAGGTGTTTGCTTCACTCCTACACAATAACATGCATGACGCTTGCCTCTTGAACGTCTTCGCTTGGCTTAACGATGTTTGTGTACCACACCGTTTGAGGTAATGGTCGCTTTAAGGTGAATATAGTACATACGCACCTAACCAACGTCCGCGAACTGTCTGCATCGAGTGAAGTCACGAATGTTTGGAATCGCACCTTTGCGGGTTTACACAGTCATACATACGAGGTCATACCTCGTGGCAACACGAAACCTAAACAGGCGTGTTTCTTATTCAATTGTGAGAACATTGCGTTTTGCGAAGCTTTGCGTGCTTTAACGAAATGCTTATGATGCATGGCTTCGTTAACGCAACAATGTGGAGGTGCCGGTATTGCCACTAAGCGTCTGGGAAACCAGAGGTACGGGGTTCGATTCCCCGCGGTGCCCGCCCTTCCTGCCGGGGTGAGAGGCAGGCGACGCCATACGGCCTCAGCAGCTGAGTGCGTCGTAAAGCCCAATGCCACACACAGACACACGCAGCAATGTGGTCCCGCCGCGCGCGTTCCGCGGCATCGCCGTAGATCGCCGTGCAGCGTCCCTCAGAAACCGCCGCTGATCCGAAACCACAAACGCTAGGGACGTACTTCTCTGCGTCAAAAACACTCGCAATAGATGCCCCATAGGCTGCCGAAAATCCGAGCGCGATTACACGACATCCTGGAGAGGTATCTTCAAGAAACCTCAGGGACTCGCATCAACCTCCCCCCCCCCCCCCCCGATCAGAGTGAGGGGTAAGACGCCAGGGCAACCAACATTTGGGCACGCCCCTGTCCCACTCTTTACTTTCAATCACATCCTTGTGCCTATGTTTAAATTACTAACATGATTCAAGCTCAAATTTAGCCAGACCAGGACTTAGTCTCACCAAGCCAAAAATGAGGACCAGTGGAAACCAAACCAGAACCCACACTTCATCGGACTTAAAGAGTGACTGGACAGACTTTGCTCACAGTGCCCAGCATCGCTGCGATCTTTTGAATATTTATGCGAGCTGCAGAGATGAAACCACGCAGGTGGCCGGGAGCGGCATTTGCTAATGTGTACGTGTGTTGCGATCGGCAAGTTTGGTGTTCCGCGCGCAGATGAGAAAACTTTCCTAATCTGGTAGTTTACAACACATTTTTACTCAAATGTGTTGCATGTGCTGGAGTTGAACGTGCGTATGCGCTGGAATATATAAGCTGTCGAAACTGATAAAAGTCGTGGCATAGAGTTGGTTTATCAATGTCTCAAGAAGATGCTCCTTGCAATCACGACTGTCACATACACCACTAGATGGTTTTCCTTGCTGTGATTGTTACTATTTTTCAACATATTTTTCACGAAGGTCTTCTTCTGTGCGAGTTATCTTTTTCAATATTTGTATCTGCATCCAGTTCTGTATGAAAGCATCTTCTCAACGTATGAAATCAATGAGGCATTCGTTAAAGATCGTAAGTTGCATTCTGCAGACTTTGTGTACTGTAGAAAAAGTTGCTGGAAATTATTTTTGTAAGTGTTGGTTATTTGCAAGTAAGTTTTTTGTAGGTGAAACAATATTTTATGGTTTCTGATGGCATTGCTAATTGCCAATGATGTTATTGAGAGAGCAACTATTCATGAACAGAATATTATTACTTTCTTCGCTTTGCATGCCGTATCACAGAAGCGCGCGGCGATTGTAATGGGCTGCAACATGGATGGTGGTATGAGATAAATGTGGATTATTTCAAAGCTGCCATGTGGTTTTATGTGGTGTCGTCACATCAGGTGTCTACTTAATGACAGCAAACACTATGTAGAAGGCTGGTGGAGGTTGTCAATGAGAAATATGGCACTGTAGTAATTGCGACGCAGTGGAATGATGATTGAGCTTATGTACATTGTAATGAACTGACAACTTTCATGACATGAAACATCCAGTATTTTTTACTCCGTCAGTGCAACGCTATCGATTGGGTATGCAATTTTAGAGAGGTTGAGATGAAGTAGAGGGGGCATTTTGGGGCATTTTTGTGAAAGGCAAATTTAATTTTACCCTTCATCATTATCATGTGAAGTTGAAAACCGCTATCACAGTGCTTAAAATGTATTTTAATACATTCTATATTGCACTGTGCAGGTAGTTGAATTGCTGTTCTCTGAGTAGCATCCCTGTTCTTAGTCAAATTATGGTATGTATGAAACAAGATGGACGTGCTATCTTATGTTGGTTTCAATGTATTGGTCTAATATTAAGTTGAAATGATAAAAATGCGTATTGCAATGAATAAGCACTGGCGGGTTATTGGAGGATCAGCATTGCAGTATAGCGGACTTTTGCGGGCTGGGTCATTGGCTAGGCGGGGCGGGCTGGGTTGTGGGCTGATACTTTTCGAGAAAGTTGCATTTCTAGTCTGGAGGTTTTTTCGGATGCCGATCTTATGTTTAATCCTATTTTGCCCAAAGATCAACAGGTATTTTGACCTAGTTTATCTCAAAATTTGACACGAGTGCGTCGATATACTGGCCTTCCTACCCTGTGAATATAGTGTGTCTGATTCTGTTGTTTTTTACGTCAGTGGCCAAACTGACGCTCTCCCCGACCGAGCGGGGTGCCATTAACCGGCCACCCGTGCGCGGTAGATCGCTGTTCCGCGTTGGTGGCGCGCGTGAATGCTCATGAAATGGATTAAATTGATATTTTGTAAGACATTTTAATCTCATGAGATATCACTCACCACTTCAGTCCAAGGAGGTCCCGCTAGTGATATAAAGCCCTCGGGGATGCTGACCTGCTCGCGCTCCAAAAAGGAGGTGCCGCTGCCACTGAAATCATCTCTTCACTCGCCTCTCCTGACCTCTGTGACTGACACCCGTCCCCCCTCTTCTCACGCACTGGCACCTACTCTTCCACTCACCTCTGCCCATCTCTTCGGTGCCGACTCCTTCCCCCCACCTTAATCTCTACTAACCTCTCCCACGCCGATATCCCCCCTCACCCCCGCCACCCGTGCGCCGGGCAGCGCTCCCCGCGCGCCCCCAGCCGTCGCTGGGCGGGGCCGGCCGGAGGTGCGCTCCGCTGCGGCACAAGTTGCCCGCCGCGCCGTTATTGCCGCACAAGTCGGCCCCGTGGCCGCGCCGGAGCTGCGCTCGACCGCGCCGCCCCGTGGCCGAGATTTGTTTCTGTCCCGGGACGGCTTCCGGCCAGAAGTTTTTGATGGCGCGCTCGGCCGCCGGGATGGGCGGGGCGCGCCGGATGTTGTTGTGGATGTCGGCTGGGTAGGTGCTTTTTGTTGGAGGAGCGCCGAGTTCGGACGGGATGTTTGTTGTGTGTTATGTATTGCCGGGCGGGTTCGTTACGGTCATGTGCTTCGTAGTATTTTCGTGTTTTCGTGTCTTTTCGAGTGTGTATCATTCGTTTGGCTTTCTCGCCGCACTTAGTTATAAGGTGTGATTTGTAAATTTATCACAATGTTATACAGGGCAGTATTTTAACGTTTCATTCGCTTTTTTCTGTCATGATTGACTGGGATTTTTATTTATGCATCAATTGTCACACTTTCTCGCCCCACGGATTTCTAACAACGTCATCAAGCCAGCTACTAACTTCATTATGTCGCGGCACTCAAAGTGCGCTCTGTCCGCCCTTCCAGCACTTCGGGCTTTACCGGGCTCAAATCACGCATGTTACGACCTTGAAGGAAAAGATACACTGCTGGTAGAATCCAGTCGAGAGAGCAGGTTCTCACAGTTTGACCACTCGTAGCTGGTACAGTGGCACTTAAAAAGGGAACTTGTAATATTTTATCAAGTCTGACATATTTTCATAACGCCATCAACCACAAAACCCCAAGGTTGCATGACTTGGGCCTTGCGACGAAAGTGCATCTGTGTCCGCGGCCTTGAAATGTCCCCGCGGCCTTGAAAGACAATGCGACATGTTCATTGGCTGATGACACTGGTACCCGACAGGGTTCCGCGGATGGGAGGGAGAAATGGTATCGGTGCACGAACGCTGTGCTGGGGAGTGGGGGGCGAAGCTCGGCACGCTGCGTGACCACGCCGTTGGACGGCACCGCCTGTTGTGACCTGTCGTGGTTCTGCAGGTTGCTGCGCGACGAGGAGTGCAACTTCCTGTGTAACCTGGCGCGGGAGGAGTACACGGAGCTGCGGGCGCTGGTGGTGGACATGGTGCTGGCCACCGACATGTCCTCCCACTTCCAGCAGATCAAGTCCATGAAGAACTACTCCGTCAACGCCGAGTCGACGTGAGTTTGCGGCATGGGTAGCGTGTATCCGTGTCTGAGTCCGGGCCCGGTTCCGGGTCCGGGTCCGGGTCTGTGGGTGGACTTGGGATGGGATCGTATGGGTCTTGGCGGCCGGCATGTGCGACCATGCCCGTGACCGGGGCCGGTAAGACTCAGCTTTGGGCACGATGAACGGAACGAGACACAACATTGGAGGCCCGAAAATGAGGCAAGCGTGGGCCGCCATCGTTAGTTTTCAATTCAGGTACGCAAACTCGACTCCATGATATTATCGGTGCGAAAAAGGCACTGTAAGACACCTTAAAGCATATTCATCAATTCTTTTATGAATTTGTGTTGGCTTAACATAAAAAACATTATCAACTGACACAGGCTTAGCTTGATCATAATATGCATAATGGTCACCATAAAAATCTCCCGATCTGCAGCCGTTTATTTCTGGACCTGTTTTATAAACAACATTGAGTGGAAGTGTTGAATTTTATTCCTGTGGAGTTCTGCAACTAAGACTCAATTTGGAGATATCGCTCAAGAACCAGCACATGGAATCCCCTTGGTCGCAGAAATAAATCATTTTGGTCGCGGACAGAATTCTCTTGGTCCTTCAGAAAACTCTTAAAATGAACCAACAATCTTTACCACGAGAGGCAAGAAATGAATGAACTCCAACCAGTGTATGAATGCAAAATCCAAGGCCGACTAAATTTAACTAGCTTCATATGGTGACTACAAACCTAAATATGTATATATGTAGGCATGCGTCATGTAAAAAAGTTGGCCATCCAGAGCTAAAAGTGCTACGTACTTCAAATTAACAAAGTTGTCAATTTCACACAAATCAAACGCAAACACAATGAAAAACAGATCGGCCCCACACCTAAACGCACGTCACGGGAAGAAGATCAAGAACATTGTTTATGGCCACCATGACCACAATAACATCATTTCCAGTTCCGTCGACCGAAATAGGTACCTAAATGATGGCTGTCTTTGCTTACCTACGTCCAGTAACGAGGTTTAGAGTTAAATTACAAACCTCTTCTTGAAATCCTGGATTTATACTCCAAATGCCTTCAATACGGACGTGCACATAATGTTTTATGCCCACTAGACTCGGCATCGTCATGCCACATGGGAAGCAACAGAAGGTAAGCGTAATATTTGGTAAAAGATGGATGCGTCATAAATGGCCGCTATCCTGAGTCTTGTCCCTGGACAGCTGACGTTTCATCCAAACGTGGCGAGCAAATACGGGCTCGTCCGCACGCCAAGTAAGTAAAGGCCATCTTGCGCATCCCAATTCCTTGAACACCTGACGACCAACCATTTGCGCCGATTTCGTCCCTGGCTGCGTTTATTTTGAGCCATTTCTGGGATTGCTGAAATGATCAGGTGATTGGTGTTTGTCTGCGGGTTTCTTCCTGGCTATATACCGAATCAGTGTATGGGTATAGCACGAAGTACTGCCGGCATTGCTATATAAAGTTACCTTATTTGCTGATAACGTTTGAACAGCAGAAAACTGGATTGGTTTGCTGTAATGGATCTCACCGACATGCAGTGGAATTGAAACGAAGCACCACATTTTTAATTCAATCCAGGCACTGGTGGTGTTTGCGACTGGAACATGTCCTCTTTAGTTGCATCCATCAGATGTGCCTCTGCGCCACTGAGTGTTTGCATGTGACCTATGTTCCCTGTAACCTGTGATTTAGTTGAGAAATGGTGTGCAACATCCAAGAGTATAATTTCGCAACATGTTTATATCCTTGGGTGAGCTGAGCAGGGATAAATGCCTGAACTCATTAAGTAGTTCGAGACTCGAGCTGAAGTTCACAAATTGAATAACGAGTTGTAGCAAAGGTGGAATCTGCCTCTAATTGGGGATTACTTGAGAATGGTTCTCGCTGTTGTGTTGAGATGCTATCCTTTTAGAATGCGTACAGTAGTTATGTAATCATACCCAACTGCAGTTTTGACACCTATTAAGTCGTGATAGTTTACTCTTGAATCTACCGCATTCCATGCATAATATGTTTATAAATTGCATGCATTGTACAGCTGGAAAACTTCATAATAAGATATTCCTTCCCTATTTTATCAACTGTGTGCAAACAAGTGACTTAGTTTCCATTGGCATTGGTTGACACCAATAAATGATAGTTATTGATGCATGAATTCATGGATGGGAAAACACAGGTGGGTTAATTCTGTTTGTTAAATATCCACCTATACCCGCAAGGCGGTCAGCAATACCCGTTAAAACTTTGCGGGCTTTTTAAGCACGCGCCTTGCAGGTTTGCGGGCTCAAAAGTGGCAGTACTACTCCCACCCCTCTCGCCCCCCTCCCCCCTCCCACGCACACACACTTGTTAAAGAATCAGTCGTCAGTGGCGTGTAGGGAAAGTGGAAACACAAGACGGTAAGCAAATTAGTTAATGTTATCCGCGTGCTAAGTGTGATTTATTGTTTTTGATACCTCCGAAGCATACATAAATGAATGGAATGGTTCTGTATAGTAAGCATCGTACGTTCATGCTCAGTGAGCGGGTGAAATTTACATTGAGCCCGGTTACGAGCAAATGTAAAGGGAAGGTAAAGTTCTTATAAGCTGATGGTGCCAGGGACGTGAGCATGAAGAGTGCCATTTTTGAAGCCATTGGCACAATTGCTGTCCATATCCAAACTTTGCCCCAGGAAGAAAGTTTCTGTATTTTGGAACAGGTGCTGTTGCAAATGCCGTTACATAATGCGCCATTGGATAGGATGGACTTGCGCAAGTGAATGGAAACGTGTTCTTACGCTCAGGCTAAGCTGTAGTGTTAAGCTGCAACCGTAATACATGTTCACATAAGTCTGCCCCAAAGCCCAGCACTGGGGGAACACTCGACAGATTGAGCCAGCCAAGCAGCAAATGCGGTTGTGAAGACCATTGAATGAATGGTGTAGATGTTGATTACGTTTGGTTTAGTGCGACCTATGCATCATTGGCTGGTGTGGGTAACGGAGAAGGGAGACGTAACTGGCCTAGATGCTGTCCGATGAAAACGGGCTTTGCGCAATGACGCGTTACTCGCCCGGCAAATGGTAGCGTTATTGTGCGAGGTTTCACGAAAGTCCGCTTTTAGGCGTGTATCATTCCACAGCATGATTTCAGCATGATTTTATTTCTGCTCGCTACAGGCGGCGTGCGAAAGATACGTTGTGTCTTTGGGTAAACACTATGCTGATAACCGTGATCTTTAATCAATATCAGTGTAGCCGCGTGTTTAATGGAAAAGACGCGTGGGATTTCTTTTCCAGGGCGGTTTGGAAATACCATGACAGTTGTAATAACTGTAGGAAGTGTTCCATCTTTGAAAATATTAAGGCAAGCATCGGATGTGATGAAAAAGCTCTCTTGTAAATATTGATATGTCCTCAAGTGCAAAGACTGCTCTGAGTAACAAAATTTCATCATTCAGTAAATTTGCTCCTCAATACGCCATTGGTTAACTACATTATGGGACGTTTTGTAACGCCAAAGTCGCAAGTGTGAGCATTGCTACTGTAGTGGATAGCGGACTCACTTGTGGTACTTCAAACGTCGCAAGAAGTTGTTTGTGCCTGTGTGTAAGTTTATGTGTTAGCTGTAAATGCGTGCATTTTGGTCTTCCGGCGTTCCGAAGAAATATCTAAATAAAATATAGTGATTAAATAGTTTTAATAAAATAAATAGTTTATCGTTTTAATATAAGATTACATAATAACCATAATAATTCTATATTTGTATTATCACAAATAATTTTGGCCTTCCGGCGTTGAGTATAGCGTTCCGAAATACTTTCCGTGATGTCATGATGTCCACTTGCATTTGCATTCCCCGTTACGGCGCCATTCTTGCTTTATTTGATTGCTATCCTCATGTCCGTCATAACTGATGGAACTGCCAAAATGTCTGTGTTATGTCTCACCAAATGCGATTGGGATCGAAAGACGCAATCTGCGAGTCATATTGGTTGTAGGCCATTTCCCCTTTATTTTTCGGAAACTTGGTGTTGAGTCATTGCTTTCAGTGGCCATATTTTTTATTGACCGTGAGCACCATGCGATGTCGAGGCGGGATTATTTGCATGGCGTTTTTCGGACGACATTTTTGCCTGGGTAACCTTGAAATAGGCGGCGGCAAAGCAGCCTGCGCAAGCTTGCTTACATCAAGCTGAGAAATAAGAGGATTTGAAGTCTGAAAAGGCAAACTACGGACTGCAGGGAACGCCCTTGAAAAAGCTATCTGAGTTAAAACCTCATACTAATGCGAAACAGTTCCTTTAACCGACGTTTCGAGGAGCATCCAGTGACATAAGTCGCATTCCAGCACGTGCTGTGCGGCATGATCAAAGCCATCGATGCTGTAGAAGGTTTGATCATGCTCGATCTTTTTCTAGTGATGTTTCAAGCGTTTTGAGGTGTGCTTGGGGATAGTTCTGCTTGAATGCGTTGTTGAAAGGCACATTTTTTCATGCATTTTTCCACAATCGATCTGTTATAACGAAGAATATGTGAAACGTACGTACACCTAGAAAGGTATCACACGTTTTGGACATATTTTGTTATGTCACACCGCTTTCGCAAAAAACAAGGCTGCATCATCTCTAAGAGTATACTAAACTCCAAGCCATGTCGAACTTTTAGAGTTCGGGCTATGTCTTGGACGTCCCATAAAAGGGTATCCATTATCGCTGTCCAACTAGCTGTCCAGCCAAGTTGATCAATTAGCTAAACCGCGCCTTCAGGCGACCTGAACTGATCATTTAACTGTGGGTTTTTTCACCGTCGAAAGGTTAATGGCTCCGATAGCGGCCCGGCGGCCAATATCCATTTATTATGCACAGGACATTGGCCGGAAACCGGGTGAATGGCGCCTCAGACTTTTTAAAGCCCAGCCGGTCGATCGCGACTTGCGGTGGCTCGATACTGCGCTGGAATCCCCTCTGATCCCTCTGCCCGGTGCAGTCCAGGTGCAGTTCAGGTGCAGTCCAGGCCACCGCGAGTGGTGCACTCATCGTCATTTGCGCCGGGCACGCGCTTACCTGGTGGAAATCTCGGTAACAAGCTGTAGGACGCTGTGGGTTGTGGTGCTCTGGATATCCGTTGGTGGGGTTTGCCTGGCGATTGCGACTGACTGGTTGGTGAACCACTTGCTCGAGGAACGGATGGGATAGACCAGGCATTCGGCGGTGATACGGGACTCGCGAGCTCATCAATGCGTACTACTGGAGTGATTTTAATGGGCACACGTCGCCGAGATAGGCAGGCAGAACATTGACATCACAGGTGCATTATTCACAGCCAAGAATTTAACTCATGGGATTACACCGAGCCGTGTTCGTTGTGTTAGGTGCTCACAGACAACGCCTCTTCTTGCTTCACCAGGCAAGAGGTGTTGAAATGTGAATAGTGTTATCGGAGCTTGGGGATTGAAATTATCGAGCTATTTAGGGGTTTTGTGTGGCTACCTTCCAGCGACTCGACCACGTTTGTGTGTGCGATATCTCGCTCCTTTCTCCCGCCTCCCGAATGCCCTTTCATTTCTCATCACTCGCTCTTAGCCCATTTGATTCGACTTTTCCGCTTCCGAAATGAAAATGGCCACCATCCCAATCAGAGCAGCTAAGACGCCCGGCATCGCTTCTTAATTACCAGTCTCCATGAATCATTCGGTCCCTGGTTTTGAAACCCCGCCTCGTAAAAAGGGCCCGTTGCATCGGACGGTACGCTGAACGGTTTTGCGGAGCTTCGCTCTTGCCGCGCTTTGGTGGACGGCTGCTGCTCAAGTGCATGCGCGTAGCCAATTTCGGCGTAAGCGCCTGTCAGGACCATACGACCGCAGGCTCTTGAAGTGAGCCGATCGATCCCCGTCACTGGGGATGCGGCGGAGAGGCGCGTCGGCGGGTCAAACACCGCTCCCCGACGCCGCGGGCTGGCTCGCGCCGTCTCGGGAGACGAGCGCGGAGACGCCCTGTCGTCCCGCAATCGGTCTGAGCCGGTCCTTGTCCAACGAGGGACGCTCTGGACGCAACGGATCCCGCGCACTCGCCGTACATCCTCTGACAGGGAGGCCAAGACATGGCCTTGTGCGGCTCAAACAGGTAAAAACAGGAGTACCGCCGATCGACGTGAATGGAGTGAGGCGGTGGAACAGGATGCGCGAAAAAACGCTCATTGACGAGTCCGTTTTTGTCCAGCGTCTGGCGCTTGTCGCCGTTGATCTTAGACCAGGGCGTCATTGAACCAGACCTTGAGGACCGCAGGACTGACATGGCCGGAGAACAAGAACCAGCACGCCATTAAACCAGATACATCGACCCGAAGGGCGTCATTGAACCAGACCTTGAGGACCGCAGGACTGACATGGCCGGAGAACAAGAACCAGCACGCCATTAAACCAGATATATCGACCCGAAGGGCGTCATAGCATGGCTGGAGATCAAGAATTAGAGCGTCAAAGCAGATCTAGAGATTTAGACGACAGCACGACATGGCCCGCGATCTGACGCCACTGCGTCACGGGCGTGGCCGGTGGTGACGCAGCGATGCGTGCGGCGAGCGGCCAGCGCCGACCGCTCCAATACCGCGCGGTCAGCGCCTCGCTGGGAGCGGCCCCGTGTGCCGACACTCTGCTGATGAGTATGTGGTGTCCGGTGACGGGGCGCCTGCGGTGGGACACCACCGGCGCGCGTGATGTGGGAGACCGCCGGTGCGCGTGAGGTGGGATACCGCCGGTGCGCGTGAGGTGGGAGACCGCCGGTGCGCGTGAGGTGAGAGACCGCCGGTGCGCGTGAGGTGGGATACCGCCGGCGCGCGTGAGGTGGGATACCGCCGGCGCGCGTGAGGTGGAATACCACCTTTGCGCGTGAGGTGGGATACCGCCGGTGCGCGTGAGGTGGGAGACCGCCGGTGCGCGTGAGGTGGGATACCGCCGGCGCGCGTGAGGTGGAAGACCGCCGGTGCGCGTGAGGTGGGATACCGCCGGTGCGCGTGAGGTGGGATACCGCCGGTGCGCGTGAGGTGGGATACCGCCGGCGCGCGTGAGGTGGAATACCACCGTTGCGCGTGAGGTGGGAGACCGCCGGTGCGCGTGAGGTAGGAGACCGCCGGCGCGCGTGAGGTGGGACACCACCGGCGCGCGTCGGGTGGGACGGCGCCGGTGCGCGTGAGGTGGGATACCGCCGGCGCGCGTGAGGTGGGATACCACCGGCGCGCGTGAGGTGGGGTACCGTCCGGCGCGCGTGAGGCAGGAGACCGCCGGTGTGCATGAGGTGGGAGACCGCCGGCGCGCATCAGGTGGGACACAGCCGGCGCGCGTCAAGTGGGACACCACCATCGCGCGTGAGCTGGGATGAGAGGGACGGGACGGGACGGCCGTCCATCGCGGGACGCCGGATGGCTTGGGGCGACACGGAACGACGAGGTGGAATTTCGTAGATGTGTCCGTTGATGACATGGGTGTCGTGGTCGTTTCCATCGCGGAAAAGAGGCGATGCGAAAGCTATTGCTTCCGAGTGCAAAGCCAGAGATTTGGCGCGCCTGGAATTCATGATATCGATCGCAGTGTCATGGCGCTGTGGAAATTCGGCATGTCGCGGCCGCGTTCGAGGCATTTGGGCGCATCAGTTAAGTTTTAAGGTTCAAATGACACATCGGTTTCATAAGTGATCTAATGTCGCTTGGTACACTGATGCAGTTCATAGCGATTACGATATTCCGGCCTAAGCTGCCTCACTTGTCTTATTTTGTTGTTTTAATCATATAACATGTTTGGCGCGTTACGTGAAAATGAGTACTCGCAGAAAAAGAAAAGGAGAGTTTCACGCTTTCTAGGGATCCTATACTTTAACATGAAATATATATATATATATATATATATATATATATATATATATATATATATATATCATACGACATAATTAGATTGGAGCACCTCCTGAGTGGAGTTCCAGGACGCTGGCAGCCAACGCTACAGTAGGGAAGCTTTGTGACAAGCTTGGCCTCGCGTTTGTTGACGAGTGGGGCAGGGTTTTTCAATTATAGAGACTTGCATCAGAGGGATGGGCTCCATTTCTTTGGGAAAGGTGTGCAAGTCTTGAGTACGGTGTGCGAACATGTTCTTCGGGGAAAACTTAGCCTCCGGCGATGGGAGGGCGAACATAGGAAACAGTAGAGGATGATAATTCACATTTTCTGAGCAGTGAGCCAAAAAGAAGCGTAGGAAAACTTAGGTGCTTCTATGCAAATGTAAGAAGCTAAGGGAGCTACATGCCTACATGCTGGAAGGAAATTTCGACCTGGTAGCTGTCACTTAATCTTGGATCGCTAAGAAACCTTTTTGCGGACAGTTTACAGGAATTTGAACTATCTGGTCACATATATGTTTACCTTTCATAGAAAGAGGAAAGAGAGGGTGAAACACTAGTCTATGTAAAACAGTATATTAAGTTTAAAATTGTAGATGATGTAAAGAAAAGCGATGATGAAGAATCCCTTTGCACCGATTTCATTATGCTGAAGGTTAACAAATGACGTGTTGGAACTTTCTATGAGCCTCCAAGTAGTTGTCAGGATGTGGGCACAGATGCATGTAAAGAAATCGCCCTAGTTGTGACTGAAAAATGTGTTGCGCTGGGAGATTTTAATACTCCATGCTGTGGCGTACATTTTGGCTATTTGTCAAAAAGTCACAGAAATATTTTTGCTCGTTTTGGAGAGAACTTTTTTTGTCAGCTGGGTTGCGAACCCGCTGGGAGATGCGGTTCTGGATCTTGTTATGATGAATAAGAAAGGGTTGACAGATGCGTTGACAATAGGTGAGATACTAGGAAAAGGTGACCATGATATGGTAAGGTTTTCATTCTACCTAGGTTATTTAGGTAGGGCTAATCATACTCTTATTCCAAATTTTTCTAGAGATAAATTTGAAGAACTTGCAGCGTTTCTTGCTAGCTTTCAGTGAGATTATTTTCTAACTGGGCTGACTGCATGTCAGATGTGGGAAGTGTTCAAGTATATTTTTGAAGAAGAACAGAGAAGGCTCATTCCCTTTAGGAAAATGCGAGAAAATAGCTGAAGGAAGCCCCCATGGCTGACGCAGACAGTGCGTAATTTGACGGTGATGAATGCGGCATGTGATGGGCAAAAAAGCAGTGCACAGAAAACAGCAAGACGGTAGATAGGATTACTTCAAAAGAGCTAAAGAACGAGTTTAAGGTACCCAAAAGATTGTGACAAATACGGCTAGCAGATACTTGCTCTGGCGATGTCAAGAAATATTTTAGCTACAACAACTTCAGGTCTCAGCGATCCTCTGTCGGCACTCTCTAGGAAGATGGAAAGTCATTAGTGGAGGCCGGGGTGTTGTAGATGCTCTTAGTAGGCAGTTTTCTTCAGTTTCTGCAAATGGGGCTGTGTATGATCTCCTCGGTGATTGGCAAAATTTGACAGAAGTCTCGTCGATTTGACGGTGACCGAGGGTGTGCACAAATGTGACCAAGTACCCTGGTTACATTTGTGGGACTGTGTATCCCTTCGAATCATTGCGGATAACATTATTTTGCGTCAGTTGTCTTTGTCGCGCTTGCAGTAGGCAGGAACCTGCTAATGATTGTGTGACGGATATATTTTTCCGTGAACTTTCAAACACCATGGCAGTTTGCTGACTCCCCATATTTCTAGCTCTGCGCCGCGCCTCTCCGTCGTCACCTCGCCCTGTCGTGCTCGTGATTTCAGCGTGGACAAATCAAAAATCCTGAACCTGGTGCTGCACTGCTGCGACATCTCGCACCCGAGCAAGGACTGGGAGCTGCACTCGCACTGGACCCGGCTGCTACTGGACGAGTTCTTCCTGCAGGGTGACAAGGAGAAGGAGCTGGGTCTTCCTCTCAGCCCGCTCTGTGACCGCGCCACCACACTGGTGCCCCAATCACAGACAGGTGAGGCGCGCTGGGGACGCGTCCAACGGCGGTACAGCACTGGGAACCGCTTGAATAAGTCTGTGGCTTAATTTGTTTATCGGAGCGTTTTAAAGTTGTGGACGGCGCGCTCCCGAGGACTCCCTGTTCTGCGCGCTATTTGGCGCCAGAGATGCGCTTTGTCCTTCCCGTGGTACGCGCGCCGAGCCGCCACGAGTCGCTTTAGTCGCCCGTAGCCGTCGTCGTCGTCGTTTCCTGGGGTAACTTCTTTCTTATCGCATTGCGCCTGTCGGCCCTGAGAGTCCCAGGGGCTTGATGGTTTCAAAGAAGGACTTTGATGTTTGGTATTGACGAAACGAATGTCCCGTCGGCTTTTGCGTCGTACTTTTTACGGAAGCGTGTGCACATCAATGCGTTTAAAAGCAAGTATCATGATTTGCATGAATGCGTTCCAGTGCAATTACCATGATTTTTTCATGCAACCGTGTCGATAGTGCTGTGTGCAGCACCGCGTGACCTCGCCGGCACCAGTGCAAAACTATTATTGTTATTGTTGTCCCGCCTTTGATAAAGGACTTTCCGGCATCCCAAACTTTGGGGAGCTTGCGCATGCCTTCGAGCACTACTAACTTGGAGGCAGCGACGTGACCGGACTGGTCAGCATCTCCTGCTTGCGTCAAAGCGGGCACTGGAACCCGAAGCTTTGAAGAATGTCACTGGTCCTCTGTCCGGTGCCGGCGCCATCTCTCATTCACGCGATCGTGAGCGGCATCGGACGATCTGGCGCTGACCAGATGTCAGTCAGGCGCCAGCTGCGTGGCATCGGATGATCTGGCGCTGGCTAGATGTCAGCCGGGCGCCAGCTGCGTGGCTGTTGTTTCCTCATTACCAGCCCGAGATTCTCACGAATTGGTGGACCGGGCTGGCTGAGCCGCATCTGAGGAGAAATTCACGTGCCTTGGCGATGTTTGGTTGATGATGAAGGAGTGACCTTGGACGCTACTGATAAGAACCAGCCAGAGTCACAGCTGACATCCAGCTAGTGCCATCGTTTAAGATTTTCCGCTCCACTCATTGGTCCTTTTTCACTGCTGTGGATATGCCGGCTACAACTTGAGATTGAGCTCAAACAAACTGATCAAGTCAGCTTAAATTGTTATTTTCACACCACGAAACGCATCTTTCGAAGGTGCTGACTGTTGGTGCTGGTGTCGGTGCTTGGTTGTCCAGAACTTTGAATCGCCAGCACAAAAAGTACTTACTATGCGAGAAGGCAGCTAAAACGTCCCAGAATGGTCTTGGCCTCCTCCCAGGCTGCCGTTTTTGTGTGATCACTCGACCGATGGGTGTCAGGGCTGGGCCTGGCGCAGTACGGGCGCGTGACCACGCTGAAGACTGTGTACTGGTACGGCGCTGAGTGCCACACCTTTTTTGACCCGACCTGAGCTGGGGTGGCACGCTACGAGCGTTTGGTAAACAAGCTCACTGGCGCGAGCAAATTGGATGGGCGGACCAGTAAAGCTTGGTGACGTCTCAGTCGGAATCTTCTCATCGACTTGGCACTCCAGCCGCTGGGGGGGACCTGAGCTGACCTGGCCCGCCCGGACCTGACTCAGTTTAATGCGTTGAGGCCAGCGTGGACGAGTTGAAAGCTGTGGAATTTCGACACGGCTCGATCCCATTGTCTCATCGGCACGATTTTGCAGTGTGTCCTGAATGAAATTGCGCGCTTCCCATGTGCCTAACGCTCAGAGCTTCCGTGGCACTTACGACACTTTCGACACACAGGGCTTCCGGCCTCCACATTTGGTCGGGTGGTCTCAAAGCATGGAACGTAGGTACTGTTTCAATTCTGTGAAAAATTAAACACGTTGTGTGCTTTGCCTTACAAATGAGCGGCGTGCCAGAAACCCGATGTTGGTGCAGCACCACCTGGGACAGGGCGCATGTTATATTTTATGAAATTAAATTCATCCCGTGGAAAGCATCTTATTTTGCTGGAACTTTCACGGTGCAGGCAATCTTGGTGACCGGGGAAGAGGGGAGGAGAGCATTTCCGTCCTTAATATGTGAAGCCTTTTGGAGCGAAGTAAATGTGCCGGCTTCCATGTCTGCCTACAGCTAGGCCTCTGGTGCACAAGTTTATCCATTTGGTTCATCAATATAAGGGTTACTGCCGCCCCGGAAGTGGGGGAGAAACAGGTTTAAGGCGTTACATTAGTGCCAGTTGAGCCAAGTTGGGTGGCCTAACCTGCGCCCTTCTGGGGGTCTGAGACAACCGCGCACGGCCGGGGAAGGTGGCTTTGTGACCCCCCACCTTGGGCCCCGTCAAATCATGAAGAATGCATACCAACTTTTTGACCTCAATTCAAATGTGAGGGCACCAGATCATTAAAGAAAATAGATCGTTCTGATAAATGCAGTTAAAACATATGTTGACACGTCAAGACGGATATTGACGGCACAGAAGTAAGTGTCAAGATTGTGGGGAGTCCCTTCTGACCATTTTTGTTCGCCCTCAAGGGTAAGGTAAGGTCATGTTGCCGTTCCAAATTGTTCCACGAGTAGCCTACAAGAAAGATACCTTTTTGTCATCTTTCGCGATGTGCTTCTGACTGAGTTCATCTTATTAGATGCAGCTGTGGGAGAACGGCATCCAAGACACAAAAATGCTTCTTTAGGGTGGCATAAAGATCAGCTGATGTCAACTTAGGCCAAACTAAGAGCTTTAACCTTTAGGCTCAGAAAATGTTTGCAAAAGACACCCATGAACTTAGGTAGACCTAGGCCAATGTCATGTGATCTGCGATCATATAATGGTTGTGCATGTGAGTTAGTGCTCTTTTCCTTATCTACGAACAACAATATTCCGCAAAAGTGCGTACAAACTTCCATTATTTACGAAAAACAAACATCGACCTCACCTCAAGTCACTGACCTTGCCGGTTTCCAAGTATTAAAAAACTGTAGGGATTGCCATACTCTATTTCCATAGTTAGTTTAAGCAACGTGAAATAACGCCTTAAAAAATAGTTATGCGTAGGTCGAAGATTTCTTAGAAACTGACCTCTTTGGACTGGCTTAGATAACTGACCTTGGCAGATCAAAACTTGAAATTGGCGCGAAGGATGTCAAGTTGATAGATAAACAGACACTAAAAATTTGGTGTTGCTGCAAGCCTTCATTTTTTAGCTATGCTCGAAAGCCGTACAGGGGAAAGTCAGCTCTCCCGGCCGGGCGTGGGTTAAACCCTATCGGGAGTGCAGTCCGAGATACAGCGCCAGGATTTACTTCTGCTGTCCAAAGCGCGTGATGTGTTTGATGTTCCACCCTGCAGGCGAACACTCTTCCTGCGCGTTTTATCCCGGCAGCACGTTTGCCTTCACCTCCTTTGCCCCACCCGCTGCTACTGCGTTCCGTGCTCCCAGGTTTCATCGAGTTCATCGTGGAGCCTTCGATGAGCGTGTGCGGAGAGCTGCTGGAGAAGGTGGCCGCGTACCTGCACGGAGCCGAGGGCGGCGCCGCCAACGGACTCGATCATAAAGCCTGTGAGCGGCACGGCAGCTGGTCCGTCGCAGACCAGGCGCGCTGCAAGACACTTAGAATGACTGGTGACTCGTGCGTTTGTTTAATCTTGTAACATGGCTCAACGAGGCAATTTATTGTGCGTCGTGGCCACTTACTGGCTACAAAGGATTGTGGATGCACACGCTTGCGGTGATCTGCTTCGCACGACCATCTCTACCGCCATCTATACGGCTGCACGGCTCGGTGTTTGGAGTAGTCTTGACATAGATGTCGTCGCTATCGCCTCGGGCGGGATCTGGCCTCTGTGGTCCGGCAATCTCTAGCCGTCCGTCAGTGACCTCGTGTGACCTGGTGCTCTTCTGTCCCCAGCTGAGGCCAGAGGTCACGCCTCGCGTCCCGTGTACCCCTGGGTCAGCCGGCCGTGGGAGAAGTGTCTGACCTATAATCTGGAGGCTTGGAGGCGGAGACAAGACGGTCAGTAGCGCGCTCGGAGACTGATGATTGGCAGTCAAAAACAGACTGCCGTTCAGTCATTTATGCATGTCTGTGGCAGATAGATGTCACAATGAAATGTTTTTAGTCACCCTGGAATAACGATGAGCAGTGCGTGTAAGATCATCGGTCAGTACAATTTGGTGCTCGTCAATTTAAATAGCAATGCTGTGTACATTAATACGAAATATATATGTGCATGTGCGCCGGTTTTGACTGCCCACCATTTTCGCTTGTCGTTCGGATGGCTAACAGCTCAGAACTGTTCAGCATTGCTCACTGAGACGCCGCGCTTTGACAATCGGCAACCCAGCGTGCGCCATCTGCTCAGCCTCCGCTGACGCCGAACGTCACCACACCGTGCTGTGCTGTCGGGCAGACGAGCAGAAGGCGGTGGGTGGCACGGACAGTGAGGACGAGGCGGACCCGCAGGAGCGGGCGGCAGAGCCGCCCCCGCCCTCGGGCACGTGATGACCCCGTGCGCCACGTGACTGTGACTCGGACGGCGACGGCACGAGGGTCGCGACGTCGCCACGGCCTCCGTCGCCGTGTGCTCGCGACATGACCAGGTTGTGAGAGACTCGTGTGATGCGCGACTGGCCGGGATGGTCGCCTCAGCCGCGGCCTGCGGCTGCGCCGCGTTCTGACGCTTCGCGCCGCATTGCCCCGCGATGTCTCAGCTAACCGTGTACTCTGGACGTGGGAGGACGCGGACGGCGGCGTGCGAAGCGGACCAGGTGTAACTGTGCTGGACTCGAAACTATGTTGCGCTCGCGTCGGCGGCCTGCGCACGGCGCCTCCGACGCTCCGTCTCCGCCCCTGACGCCGGTTCGTCGAGCGTCGATCCTCTTAGCCGCTACGGACGACGATCCACCGCACTAGATATTAATCCGCCGCTACCCTCCGCCGCCGAGTGACGACACCGACCTTGCACTGAGTGCACCTCCGGGTGTCGGTGGCCTCGCCGCCCCTCCGGCGGCCGGCGGCTGTCCCGCACGGCCCGTCCTGCGATCGGGCGCGCAAGTGTCTCGGGCTCGGCGCCCAGCCGCGCGCGCGGTCTCGTATGATACGTGTGACTGGTTCACGCACAGGTTGAATATACGCGGCTGGAGGCGCTGGCACGTGACGTAACACACACCGAGCCTCGGTCGGCCAGAATCGAGTGATGTGTGCACGGTTTGGAGAGCCGCCCAAGATCATGTGCTTTGGCGGTTGATTTAAGAGGGATTGAGAGTCACAAGACGTGAAAGACACAGACATTTCGTTGAAGACATGAAATGTTGCAGCCTGCTCTTTTGATTCGTTTGGTATCAAAACTCTTTAGCCACGAGCCTTCTTTATGCCGCTATAACCGTGCAAATGTTGTTAACCCGGGATGGTCCTGTTAGATGTGCACGGCGGTGTGGTATTTGGCTTTGTGGTGCTTTGTTTTAATCTATGGCCGTATGGCCGTAGACAAAGAATTAAAGTACGAATAATTATACTTTCAGGGTTTTTAAAACCGGAAAGCTATTTTCAAACTCTTGCCTTCATTTTGTTTGGGCAAAATGAGAACGGAATATGTTTTTGGTATAGGCCTTTCGTGAGGTAGCCTGTCCGGAACGCAGCGCCATGGTGGATGGTCGGCAGTGTTGGTTCTCCTTGAGCGAATGTAAACCGGTGTGTTGATCCTCCCACAAAAGGATGCGGTGAAGCATTGGAAGCGATGGAGCGATCACGTCAGAAGCGTGTCGTCCCCAAGGGGTGATGCAAAAAGGTTGCCCTTGAGGTGATGGTGAAAGCAAAGGGCCTTCCCCCGACGAATGACTTGCTGCACATATATGTTTCTGTAGATATAAAAAATCACCACTCCTTGGCAAAACTGTCCCGCAAAGATACAAAGGTACATGGTGTTTGTTAGCTGTGCATTAGTGCACCCTCTGCTGTTGACACAGCATTGACATACATCAAGACGTACGTTAAACGTAAAAGTGATATGCATGATAAACGTGGACGCTGCAAACATCAGCAGGGGCGATATTTTATATGCTCTCGGAGGCCGACCGCTAGGGCTTTCAGCGACGTGCGAAAGACATGTTTGTGGCGCTCACCCCAAGACGCGTGAACGCGTGCAGTCGGAAGAACACTGAAAGATGGAGGGGAGGGGGGGGGGGGGGGGGGAAGCAGCTGCCGTGCGCCAGCCGAGTTACTCAAGACCGGCGTCTGTCACATAGATTTAGAGTAAATCGGCCTGATACTGCTTGGACATGATACAGCTGACCCTGCTCTCCTCTACGTGTAAGTGCCTTTAGTGGGTGCGACAAATTTTGTTTTGGATATCGTTGGAAACTATAGCGATAGGTGCCGATGTGCATTAAAGGAGAGCGTTCCACATTTGAAGATATTGGGAACAAGTATCAGCTATGATGAAATAAGCTCACTTATGATGATTAGTACACTTTTAAGTGCTTTCGCAAATACAATTTATATATTTAGTAAATATTGCCCCGAACGCGTCATGGAACGTGGTATGACGTTCAGAAGCTGCCAAACAAGCCATGAGGAATTGCCACCCGAACACTTACTTGTAGTACTTCACTCTCCCGAGAGGTGGCCGTGGCCGTGCTGGGGATGTTCCTGAGCCAAATATCGTTGTGCTCGTGTTTTTGCCCTTTTTATATGGTGCTTTTCCATGTTTATCAGTGATTTAAGATGTGTTCTTGTATTCGCATGCTCGGTAACCACATCATTCTTAAGCTATGCGATTACAAATTTTGTTTCCGTAATAGCTAGCAAATGAAGAAACCACGTTCAGCTTCTCACATCACGTGGCACAGGACGTGACACGTGATGGCAGTTTGCACGACTTGCGTGCATGCCTGAATGGCATGGAGATAGTCTGCCGAAATAGTCTGCACATCGTCGCGGGCGTTCTGCTCAGAAACTAGAGCTTTTTAGGTCCTTAGAAGGAGAGGGCTGTGAACTACACCAAACGATCTTCAAAATGGCTATTCTAGCTCAAACCCCTATGCAAAAGTGGAACACTCCCTTTAAGAGCTTACGGCAAAACTAAACCGATCTGAATGTTATATTATGTATCTAGGAAGTACATGTGTTATATATCGTAAAGCATTTGGCATCTGCTAGCCAAGAATCTCGGGGTGTTGTAAACTATATTCCAAGATGTCGGGAGATACATGTTGGCTGCAAGGCAAAAAGTCAAAACACGAGAAGTTAACGGACAAAAAAGGTCAAATGGTAGAAAGTCAAAGAGAATAAAAAACAAACGCAAGAAGGAAAAAGACCAAGGAAATCAAAAGGATGAAAAGTGCATTGGCAAGAAGTCAACAAAAAAGTAAATGCAAAAAGTGAAACACGTCAAGGCTAACGACACGATGTAAAAAAGTCTTATGAACGCGAATTCGGATCTACTAGCTGTCAAAAAAATGGCGTAATAATGAATGACAGATGCCGCTATTTTGTAGGTATGATACGCTCTAGCACGCTAAGACGATACCACATGACATGGAGTGCTTCGATCCTATTTTAAATTGTAAAAGCGCCGATTGCGCTGCATTTTTGTAGAATGGCAAAGACCATGAACCAATGTGGAGCCAAATGGAACCGAAAGAGCTCATTCAGTGCCATTGTCGATGTTACCATTCAGTTGTTCGTTATCCAAGGGGTTACTCTCTCGATTGTTCCCTCCAGTTCGACCCTTATCCAAACGGTGGCAGTTGTCCACCAGTGTGAATCTGACAGAAGCAATCCGCCAGCGGATGGCGTCCGGGGCCCGCTCCGTTGGTTATCAGGCATGTCCGGGGCCCGCTCCGTTGGTTATCAGGCATGTCCGGGGCCCGCTCGTTGGTTATCAGGATTCATCCTGTCCCGGGGCCCGCTCCGTTGGTTATCAGGCATGTCCGGGGCCAGCTTCCGTTGGTTATCAGGCATGTCCGGGGCCCGCTCCGTTGTTATCAGGCATGTCCAGGGCCCGCTCCGTTGTTATCAGACATGTCCGGGCCCGCTCCATTGGTTGCCAGACATGTCCGGGCCCGCTCCGCTGGTTACCCGGGCATGTCCGGGGCCCGCTCCGTGGTTATCAGGCATGTCCGGGGCCCGCTCCGTTGGTTATCAGGCATGTCCGGGGCCCGCTCCGTTGGTTATCAGGCATGTCCAGGGCCCGCTCCGTTGGTTATCAGACATGTCCGGGGCCCGCTCCATTGGTTGCCAGACATGTCCGGGGCCCGCTCCGCTGGTTACCGGGCATGTCCGGGGCCCGCTCCATTGGTTACCGGGCATGTCCGGGCCCGCTCCGTTGGTTATCAGGCAGTCCGGGGCCCGCTCCGTTGGTTATCAGGCATGTCCAGGGCCCGCTCCGTTGTTATCAGACATGTCCGGGGCCCGCTCCATTGGTTGCCAGACATGTCCGGGGCCCGCTCCGCTGGTTACCGGGCATGTCCGGGGCCCGCTCCGTTGGTTATCAGGCATGTCCGGGGCCCGCTCCGTTGGTTATCAGGTATGTCTGGGGCCCGCTCCGTTGGTTACCGGGCATGTCTGGGGCCCGCTCCGTTAGTTATCAGGCATGTCCGGGGCCCGCTCCGTTGGTTATCAGGTACGTCCGGGGACCGCTCCGTTGGTTATCAGGCATGTCCGGGGACCGCTCCGTTGGTTACCGGGCATGTCCCGGGATTGCTCCGTTGGTTACCAGACATGTCCGGAGCTTGTTCCCTTTGTTACCGGGCGTGCCCGGGGCCCGTCCCGCTAGTTACCAGGCATGTCCGTAGCCCCCTCCGGTGGTTACCAGACATATCGGCGCTCGCTCCGTTGGTTACCAGGCATACCGGGGCCTGGTCCGGTGGTTACCAGGCATATCCGGGGCCTGCTCCGGTGGTTACCAGGCATGTCCGGGGCCTGCTCCGGTGGTTACCAGGCATGTCCGGGGCCTGCTCCGGTGGTTACCAGGCATGTTCGGGACCTGCCCCGTTGGTCGCCAACAGAGGTGAACTGGCACGCTGGTGTCCAGGGCTGCACCTCAGAGATCCGGGACCCGATCCGTTTCGCACTCCGATTCACCAAAGTCCGGGTCGTGCTCAGCACGCGGGGAAGGTGTCGCCGTGCGCACACACAGCACTGGATAAGAGGACATCTCGAGCCCCAAGCAGGCAGACGCACCCCTTGTCGTCCTCACCGATCTGTGAAATAAGCCGAATTATACGAGAGCACAGCCATATCGCACACAGCCTGTCATTTTAGCGCATCTGAGCTCACGTATTAGCGTCTTTGTTTGCAAAACAGATGTGCTGTCGCGCGACTCCCACTACCTGCACACCGTTGACCTTGCAGGCAAGTGTCGTCCAAGCGTCGGTGGAGTATCGCTGTCCTGGTCTGTCGAGTCATGGGAGCCCTCATCTGTGGCGGGGAACACTTCGCCAGTCATGTATAGCGGCCAGAGGATGACACGCGCGATTCGGACGGAATCGAAGGCCGACAGAGACGTCTGAGGAGCGACCACTGGCCCGACAAGCCATCGCTTGCGACTGTGTAAGCCTACCGGGCGGGGACTCTCGAACGCGGTGCATACGGCAGCTGGGTGCACGCCGTGCAGCAGTGTGCGGTGTCCGGTTTGGTGCCTGTTTTAGCTGGTAGTCCGGTCACAGGCGCCACATCTCCGGCTAACAGGTTTATAATAAGGCTGCATGTATGTTTTAAACCGTGCTTAGCCTTCTTTTCAAGCCGGTAGCTTTGTCAGACATGAAGCGTGCCTTGTCACATGTACGTCGCGTGTTTGGAAGACGCGACATGGGCACTGCGCTCAGATATTTTGTTCTACGCAGCTGGAGCAGCCAAGATTGCGGCATCTGTCACACTTTACCATACACACAAAGCGCAACTTTGAAGCACCGCGTTAATAATGAAATATTTAACCGGCAGCTTTAACATCTTCAAATCACTACATACCAGCAGCCTACCGTCAGCCGTCATGTGAACAGTGCAGGGATCTTTGCAGGAGTGACATCTCCAGCATGCTCTTGACTAAGCCTGCTTCACGATAAATCAAGGACCTTGAGAGCTAGCTGCAGAACATGAGCCGCTCGAATTTGACATAACTCCCCCGGGCGTAGCACTTAAATCGCATTTGCATGACGTCGGAAGCAATTCGGAGAAA